CGATGAAATCGTAAAACTTGTGACTTAATTATACCAGAAAAGGTATGTTTTGGGTGAAAGGAGCTCTTGTGCAAGAGTTGATGAGTATCAGTTTCTTTGAAATACACTTTAATATCCAGTTTATTTGTTTCTGCTATGGAATCTCCCTTAAAGACTGTGGTATCGAGAAAGTCTAAGCTTTTGTCACTCACGTTTGCGGTTAGTTTGATAGAAGGATGGTGGTTGTTGAGAATTTCAAAGAATTCCCAAAACTGTTCGATAGAATAAGTCCAAACCATAAAAATGTCATCCAAAAAGCGTCCGTAAAAAAGTGGGTCAAATGGACAGAGGGGCAACACCTCACATTCCCATTCTGCCATGAAAAGGTTTGCGTACGAAGGCGCGAATCGTTTGCCCATTGCTGTCCCTGAAGTTTGTAAATATGTTTTACCATTAAATGTGAAATCGTTTCGACTAAGACAAATCTCTAAAAGCTGTAGAATTGCATCTGAATTGGTCTGTTTGGATCTGGGTTTCTATTAAAAGCAGTAGTGTTATCGATATTGGTATACATAGAAGAAACGTCGATAGAAATTAAAATAGCATTAGAGGGGACTCCAAGATTTTTTATTTTATTGACAAAATCGGTTTTGTCTTTAAGGTAGGCGCGATGTTGACATGATAGAGGTAGTAAGAAATGATCAATGTATTTTGACACTGCATATGACTCACTACCACAGTCAGATATAATCGGGCGGCCTTATGGGATTTTATTCGAGATAAACCACTCCTTGGTTGGATTCTTATGGATTTTAGGCAAATGTGTGTACAAATGTCTCTCGCGACAATCGGGTTTGGCAGACAGATTGTCATATTGTTTCTGTTTGAGATAACTAGTTTTGACTAAATCGGCAAGAATATTGTTAATCATGTTAGCAGTTTCTTTGAAAATTGGTTTCGGTAAAATGGCATAATGTTTAGGATTATTCAGTTGATTCTCTGCTTCTGAAACGTAATCCTCCCTATTCATAATGACACAACATGAACCTTTGTCACTCTTTTTAATAACAATGCTATCGTCTTTCTTAAGTAAGTTTAACGCTTCACGTTCCACTCGTGTGATATTAGGCTTTTCGTGTGTTATGGAAAGGTTCACTATTTGGCTATTCATACTCACAAATGCTTTCAATATTTCAGGATGGATGGCGGCCTGAGGGGGTGTCCACGTGGATTTAGGAATAAACATTGTTCTAGCACCACGTGGGGGTGGTTTCGAAAAAAATATGTGCAGCTAAGATTTCATTGAAATCGTTCAAAGGATGGTCGGGGATAATTCAAGTTAGCTATCTTTGGTGTGGGAATAAATTTAAGTTCACGGTCTAAGATTGAATGCTGAAGGGGTGTGAGAATTTTGCGGCTCAGGTTAACTACAGTTTGGCCTAGCGGTGGCCTCTCAGTATTTTATCCCCAGTAATTAGTTTAAAGACTTACTCGATGCTTGAAGCTGGTGTATCCAAAACAAATAAATGCTGTTTGCTGTTTCTGGAGACCAATGAAGATTATCAACTGGTTCGAATTCTTCTTCGTAGGGTGGTAAGATTGTTGCGCTGTTGATACTGGACTGTTGATCATGTTGTTGAGAGTGCTGAGGTTCTGTTGCGCTTTCTTCGAGATTTTATTTGAAATAGGTATACATGTGAAGAGGATCTTGGAGTTTGGGAAGGTTTTGTTGGCTGTGGCGATTAATTTCTGGGCTTGGTTAAAGGAGGTCTTTGGTAGCAGATCACGGTTGTTGAGACCTACATGAAGAATAATGGTAGTAGGTTTGGGATCATGGTCGTATGATTCCAGGATTGACTGTATGTGATGGATTTGGGCACCGGGGTAAGAATGTATTTCAGTGTCTGAACTGGTTTTGGTAATTCGATTCAGGTTAGATGATCCAATAATTAAGGTAGATTTCTTTAGAGCGGGTAGCTTCCATAATGATTTGTCCTTGGTTTGGTGATAATACGGCTTGGTAGCGGATATAATGGTCGTCGACGGTGTGATTGGTACTGGTTTGGTAGTTGTTAGAATTGTAGCATTGGGAACGGACTGGGATCTCGTTCGAGGGGGGGAAGGTCTGGATATACATCTCGACTTGAATGAAGACTGAGGGGTGGTTTGCTGGTCCAAAAACGCACAGAAGGAAGAAAGGTTGGCGGATCCTGGATCACATGGTGAAGATTCAGATGGTGTGGAAGGAGAAGACGAGTCTGAAAGTGAAAAGATTGCCCTTGACTTTGTAAACACCCGTCAAAAGTTGTTTTTTGCCCTTGATTAGAGCTGTGTGATTTAATTGTTTGTTGTATTTGGGTTATTGATATTGATTTTAAAAAATTTTGTGGAATTATTCAGCATTTCTTCAATATGAGAAAATTCGTACTTTAGTCACTAAAGACTGTTTTATTATTTCTGAAAGCTGCCAGTGGGCGTATGTTACCTTGCATCGCAAGCTATCTTTATGATATATCACAAATATTTTGGTCACAATTACGCTTTTTGAAATTTTAAAATTTTGTACCGACTTCCATAATAACCGCGTAATTTGTTTTTCGTCGTATAATCTCACGTCTTTCACGCGATTTAATAACTTTAGACCTTTGAAATTTTGCAATTTACGATAACAGACATGACACTTAGTGTAGTCCCTTTGTTATTACGATGGATCTGTTCTTATTAAAATGTATATTTTGAAGAAAAAAATAATTCGTTCTATGTAACTGTTCGACATAGGCTACGTGTTAAATTTTTTATCTTATGCTAGTATATATTGATTGATAGATCAGTTTCGCCAAAAAAACTTTAATAGAACCGAAGACATGACATAAACGGTGCAGGGAGAAAAAGTCTGACTGAACTACAAAAATATTCATCTTTCCAATTATACCTGGGTTTTGCAGATCCGAGGTATCTAAATAGGTTTAAAAACCCCGCACCTGTAAAGATGCAGAATGTCCCCATTTAACAGGGCATATTTTTGTCTCGATCCATACCAGCTGACATCTGTCAGATTTCCAATTCCATGCTCCAAGATGGACTCTATCATTTTCTTTTGCAAATTGCAGTAATATGTTGTATATGTTTAAAACAGTATTATTTTTTTATAGCTTTCGAATCGCATTAAAACATGCGTCCAACATTGTATCTTTGTTGACAATAAAGTCTTAATTTAAAAAAAAAACAGTATATATATTGCATCATCTGCTGCGGCGTTTTAGACTGGTTCGATCAGACAAATGATTCTGTTACAATCCTATTCCGCACAGCAAGTCCATCGTTTCGGATTTCGAATGGTTGTGGTGGGTTGAGATAATCGTCCGGGTTGTCATCCAGGTTCGGAGGAGCATCACCGGGGACTGGGACCCGGTTTTCTTCGCATATGTTGTGCAAAGCTGCTGTTGCAACGATTACATGACACATCGTTCTGGCCGAAGTGTCATGACGCCACCTGAAAGTAAAGGATCACTTAATATAAACTGATGAAGAAATATATGGTCGGCATATGGTGATGGTGGTTTAGGGTAATAATTGATCCTGAAATTATCAAACACGGTGAAATCTTACCAAATTTATGAAGGCAAAGCCATCTCATTTTACACCTCCCGAATGTATTTTTAATTTTCTATCTCGTCCGACGATGCTGTTGGTTAAAAACGGTTTCCGCTTCATTCTGTAGTTGGGGAATCGGTGTTATCAGCCAAGGGCGTAGAGGGTAAGCACTATCCCAATGTAGGTATCCCTCTCGGATGTTTCTATCTTCGAAATCTTGGTGCAAACGACAGTTATTCCATATAAAGGCATCATGTGTGCTTCCTGGCCATTTTGCAATAATGTTGGTAAACTTAAGCTGATTATTACAAATCCCCTGAACATTGGTCGCATGAAAACCTTTGCGACAAACAAAGGCGTCTTCGTTCAAATGCGGCGCTTTAATTGCTACTAAACTCCCATCAAGGCAGCCAATGGCATTGGGAATGCGTGTTCTGTTTTCGTCAAAGAAACCTTCTTTAACTGCTTGTTGGGCTTGCTGTTGTCTGGGAAATATAATTATTCCCTGCTTCTTCTTGCAAGTGCTAATCCCACAAAGATCACCGCTGACGGATTGGAAATTTCCACTGGCATAACAACGCAGAGCACAGAGTACTTGCAGTGCTGCAGGTATGGCATAGGGACGTTCAGTTTGCGGAGCAATTTCAGCCTCGATCAAGTCGATGACTTCCAAAACTTCAGGGCGAGGCATACGATACCTTCTAAGTATAAACGTTCACATTTTCATGTGGGCGTATAAAAAGCTGCGTAACGGAATAAGGGAAATGGGTAAGAGGCGACTTATATAGGGAAGGGGCTACCGAATTGGGTGAAGTTGAAAGAAGCGAAATATTAATAATTTAGGGAAAAATAGAATTTCCCTGGCTATAGTATCTCGCTATTCTTGGTCCCCATTGACAATATGAGTTACATTGAAGATTATGACGCACCATAAAAATTGAGACTGTTGATGTCGTATTTTCTAGACAACTCTGATTAGAGACTTAATCCCCATTGAATCAATGAACATGATTAGGTATTATTTTTTTTTTTTTTCAAACCGTGACTTAAATATATGCCCCTAAACACAGGTCGGTTATTTTTCGTGGTCAATGCAGGCATTAATATGTAGTTAGGCCTACGGTTAATGGAATACTTGAAATTTTTGTAATCATAACAGAAAACGAAAGGGGTGAACTCACTTTCTAAACTGAAAATAAGATGGGACATAAAATACTTAGGCTATCAATCAAAGTTCAAAACTAGGTACTAAAGAATTAGTCATTTAGGTTTGGGTTGAAAAAAACTTGAGCCATCTTACTTCTCCTCCTTAAAATTTTTTTCATTAATTTCACTTTGTATTACAATATTGTAATTTGTAAGTCAATTCTCTATTATGTATACTGCCTCTCGTTTGACCTAAAAGAGGATTATTTGCGACAAACATTATCAAGTCTAAGGCCTGTTGGAACTGTAATGGCGGACGACGAAGATGCGTTTGACAGTTGGGAGGAACAAGAAGATAGCGGTGTATGAACCTTTTGATTATTAATACTGTATAGTTTGGTTGATAATGTAGAATGCCACTATAAATTTGTTTTTGATTGATACTTCGAATGATACATTTTCTTCGTGAAAACCATTGCTCTCACTGCAATAAATTGGTGGTTGCACTGCACTGCAGTAGCAAAGTACAGTGGTGTAACCTATTTTCGTGGATATAAGGATTCAACACTGAATTTCGTCAAAGTTAAAAAAACGAAAAAAAAATTTTATGTCTTAGATGTTTCCTCAGATAATCTACAAAATAACTAAAATTGGTTTATTTCGATTTTCTTTATGAATCCTTCACTTTGACCCATATTTCATGAGCAACCAACTCGGCAATGGCGGCAGAATGCGTCACTCATTTTCGTGTACAATGTTTGATCTATAAATAAGTCAAGAAAAACACGTTGTATGGATACCGGGTGGTATAATTAACTATTTAAGTATTTGTCTTTAATATCAATTCATTATAACTAGTGTCAATTCCTTCAAAGAACTACGATTTAAAAAAAAAATAGTGACTGACAAAATAAGACAAGTAGCGTGATTTATTGCTAAGAGTCTCTGAAACAACATAAGAATATGGTCTACTTTGTGTTCCATAGACTTACATAGAAATTTTCTGCTGACACGGAATCCGCTAGTTGATCACGTGACTTCATTCGTTGGAATATAATCTAGCAGACGACACTTGGAATTCTGATTACCGCTTGGGATTATAAGGAAATTCGGCCGATAAAAAATGGTATCGTTTGGTAATAACTGAAATCCGCCATTTTGTATTTGTCAAAGTATACATTAATACATTTTACCTTGCTTGAAACTACTGGATTCATTCTACTAGCTGATATTGTAGATAAAACCCATGTTTATCAAAACAAACTAATGTGGAGGTCGCGCAAGGTCGCTCATGTAAATTATTAATCCTTTCCGGAAATCCACGAATAATAGGTTTCCACGAAATTAGGTTACTTGACTGTACAACAAAGAATTTGAAAAAAGGACTATTACATTACTACACTACAGTACTGGTAGACCTACTTGGACTAACTTAGTCCGAAACATCTGCCTGTATTCCACACTCTGATGGATATTTTGACAGTTGTCAGCTGAAATAAAGTCTGAAGAGAAAGACCCTGTTAAATGGGGATTTTCCACACCTCTACAGATGCGTTTTCTCTAACATAATATTGAATTACCTTTATGATGATTGTAAATCAGTGTTGGGCATCACCATACCTTTTGTTTTGTTAGTATCACGTGACTCTGTGACCTTTGAACTTTTGGCTGTGCACGCAGTTTTAAATGGCCGATGCTAGATCAGTTTCGCCAATAAAACTTTGATGGAGACGTGGCATAAATGGCGTAAAGAGAAAATATCTATCTTTCCAAATATACGGTACGGTATCTAAATAGGTTTAAAACCCAGCACCTGCGGAGATGGGGAATGTCCCCATTTATTATTATATCTGTCTCTACACCAGCTGACATCAGTCCAAATAGCTATCAGAGGCTGGAATAGAGACAGATGTTTTGTTATATGAGACCATGACAGTCAGTGATTGAACTTTTACAAACCTGAAGCCTAATTTGGTATTTAAATCATGTCATGATTTACATGATACAAAATGAAAAGAGACTAGGTACCCAAGAGAATAGTTTGAATGCTATTTGTACACCATTTGCTGCATAAGAACAAGAAGATGCACTGTGAAAATTAGTTATATTGCTTGGTGAATTGGTACATCAGGATACTGTATACCATGGCACAATACATGTGTAAAAATATACACCTGTGAAATATCGTTAAAGCTTTGAAGGTGTTTATTATTTTATATCGTGACATGTATTGTATTTTATCAAGATCAAGAGGTAGAATTTTCCAGTCCACCCATTTTACTAGTAGCTAATTAAAAAAAAAATGGACCATTTATATGCTAACGATATCTAAGATACACTTCTCTCCCAGAAAATTCATGTGAAAATGACCTACTTTTCGGACTGAATATTCCCATATTGTAAAATCATACATTTAAAATAATAACTTTTCCATTGGTTAACATTTTCATCAACCCAAAGACATGTAACACCGTCAGTAATATTTTGTAGTTGATATTTAGATTCGAAAATGACTGACAAAATTCAATTCAGAAATCATTGTTGTCAGAGTAATTCTCAAATTCCTTCATGATGGAGATTATTCCAAAATCATCATTTTAAGGTTGATTGTTATCAAATTAATTTTTTAGGTGTTAGATAAAAGAATTGGAGAGTTACAGATTGATTCTACAAGCACATCCAAAAGGTACTACACCTATTTTAAATTTTTCTGATCAGTGATAATGATGTCATAAAGTATAGGAATTATACATTTTGATCTGGCGTCTCTTCTTTAAACTAGATACTACAGATTTTGCCAGAGTTTATTGTAGTATAAGATATTGTTTGTTTTATGTAGTACTTTAAGTAACAATGTAGTTATGAAAGAGTTATCTGGAAGAACAGAATATGCACCTCAAGTAAGAATATTAAAAAGAGATCAAAATGATGGAGATAGTAAGAATATTACCAATAACACAGATAGGTAAGTTATGTCACTAAGTGTTGAATAAGTTGGTCATTTTTACAACAGGGTTATTTTCAGCAATACCATTAGTTCATCCAGTTTAAATGAAATGAATGGAGTTATACGTCCTACTTTTTTGTACCATGTGGGGCATTGTGGGCTAATGAAGACAGGTAATGCCATGCATGGTGCAATGAGGGAAATTTTGACAGGACAGTGGCTTAAGCCTGCTCTTTTTCGATTTCCAATTGTCGAGGGGAAACGTGCACAGCCTGTATTACATGGGGTCTCGGTTTATTGTCCCATTGTCACAGTGGGATTTCTTTCTGAAGAGAAAAGTGCAATAAACTTTCAGTAGTCAAAAATAGATAAACTATTTAATGTTTTGTTTAATGAAAGGATGCATGGATTTGATACCATTCAGTACTAAAAGGTTGTCTAAAGTGGAATTTTCAAATACCTGTATCGTCAAGCACAACAACTTTTGTTATGGTCAAGAGGTCAACAAAGGTCAAATAAAAGAGTTATGAGCCTTAAGAGATTTGAAAATTGCTGTTTTCGGATATTCGTTGTTTTATGTTAAAAATTTGAGTTTATATAGCAAAACAATTACGCACAATTACTATCGAAAATTTCAAATTTTGAAAAGCATAATTTTGCTCAAAATATAGTGTGATATATCTTCAGAAAGGAGAGATTTGCACACATTAAGGATCTAAAACAAATTTTGTTGTATGCTAATTAGGTCATGTGACAGAGCTCTTTTAAGATAAAGATAGCTTGCCAGGCAAGGTAACATCAGCTGCCAGAAATGATAAAACAGTCTTTAGCGACTAAAGTACAAATTTTCTCATATTAAAGAAATTTTATTAGTTTGAATTCAATGATATATATATTTACTGCCAGTTATTTATACTGAGTAATGCCAAAAAATGTTTTAAAATTGATATCAATAACCCAAATACATCAAATTATTAAATCACATGGCTCTAATATCAATTTTTCTACGCCCCCATCTCTCTATGTGGATGTATATTGTCGGCACCTCTGTCCGTCCGTCCGTCAACATTTGCTTGTAAACGCTCTAAAGACTAGATTTTTTGATGGAATTAAATGAAATTCGGTATGTGTATACATATTCATAAAACGAAGATCAAGTTCGAATTTGAGCTATTTTCAACAGTTAGAAGCAGAGTAATTGCCCTTGCCAAATAATCTTGAATATGCTATTTCACCCTTAGTTTTCAACCGATTTTGATGAAACTTAAAATGGATGTTATTGGACCTAAATCGAAAGGTTTGAGAAAGTTTAGTTTACTTATGATTAAATTCAAGGCCTTTTCAATATTTAGGCCTCTTATGTCAGTTTTGAGGAGTTATCGCCCTTTAACCTCTATACAGTAAGTGCTTTTATCAACATCAATTGCTCGTAAACACTCTCGTCCGTCCGATTTTTTGATGGAATCAAATGAAATTCGGCATGTTTATACATATACATAAAACGAAGATCAAGTTCGAATTTGAGCTATTTTCAACCGTTAGAAGCAGAGTTGTTGCCCTTGCCCCAAAATCTTGAATATGCTATTACTCTCTTAGTTTTCAACAGATTTTGATGAAACTTAAAATGGATTTTATTGGACCTGAATCGAAAGGTTTGAGAAAGTTTTTTTTACTGCTGATTAAATTCAAGGCTTTTTGAAGATTTAGGCCTCTTACGTCAGTTCTGAGGAGTTATCGCCCTCTAACCGCTATACAGTATGTGCTTCTATCAACATCAATTGCCCGTAAACAGACTATTTACTTTGTATGCCCTTATGCAATGATTACATTGATGGATTCCCTTATTTCATTTATGAAAAACACATCAAAATATGTTTGTGAACACAATAGAATCTGCAGTTTTCCACTGATTTTAATGAAATTTAGTGTGATCATTCTTATTGATGAGATCTTAGACAAGTTAAAATTTGATGATTTTTCGATTTACGGTCTTTGAGTTATGGCCCTTGACTTAAGAAAAACGCATAAAAATTTGTTTGTGAACACAATAGAGACTACAGTTTTCAACTGATTTTAATGAAATTTGGTGTGATCATTTATATTGATGAGATCTTGGACAGGCTCTAATTTGATATTTCAATGAACGGTCTTTGAGTTATTGCCCTTGACTTAAGAAAAACATGTCAAAATTTGTTTGTGAACGCATTAGAGACTACAGTTTTCAATTTATTTAAAACATGGTGTGATCATGTATATTGATGTGATAATTTGATGTGTTTAGATTATTGATACTGATTTTTAAAAATTTTGTGGAATTTCTCAGCATAAATAACTGGCAGTAAATATATATCATTTAATTCAAACTATTAAAATTTCTTTTAAGTTACCTTGCATGGCAAGCTATCTTGACATAACTTGGTGTGAGTGTTCGTAATTACCCAATGATGAACCCTATTGAAAATCAGAGTTATGAGTTATTGCCCTTGTTCTTGAAAACGTGTTCAATTTTTAGCCCGAAAAAGCTTCAGAAGGCACAATTCTTGACAGAGTTTGACGAAACTTAGTGTGAGTGTTCTTAATCACCCAAGGATGAACCGCCTTGAAAATCTTTGTGTTTATCCAGACTGTACATACATGGATATTTATGATTGGTTAAAACTCTTAATTATATGCAATAAGAACATAACGATATGATTTATAATACACGATAATTCATTCGAAACCCCAATTAATCAAAAAGTTGGCTAAATTTGACACAAAAAAATAAGGAAACCCATCTTTAACTATTAGTATTTCTGTTTTATTACCAGTCAAAATATAAAACCAAGTAAAACATTAGAAGAAAGAGAGGCAGAGTATGCTGAAGCTAGACAAAGAATATTTGGTGATGAAGTAGAAACTACCTGTCCAGAAGAGGATGGGGACAGTATTAAAAGGTAAATATATTTTTACTTTAAACCTGGACTGTCGAGTTTTGGATGATAACTAGTTATGAAAGTAAAGTGTATTGTGGTGTCACTTGTTTAAGCTAGTGCTCAGAAGAGTAATTTATTATCCATGCAAGATTACTGTCTTTTACCAAACAATCTGTAATAGATTTATTGTCTGAAGATTGCGTAGAATGAAACTCTAATCTGTTTTTTCATCAAGATGCATTTGTGGATTTGTGAGCATCACTTTTCACATATTTTACGTGTTTTATACTTAAATTCTTTTATGGGTCAGTAACATCTTCTTGATGCCATGCACATTGCTAAGGTTAAAAATTGATATAGAAATTCTAATCTTTTGACAATATCTGTTTGTTTCCAGGCCAATTCGACTTATCTGTAAATCTGATAGCCCTGTTGGTAACACTGTATTAAGACAACCACGTGGTCCTGATGGAACTAATGGCTTTCAACTTGAAAGATAGCAGGAATATTTCTGTCATATTTTAATTGTATACTTAATTATTGGTTGTATCTTTAGTCAACAGAGTCAAAACCCCCAAACATCTAGAAATATTTTTGGTAAGTCAAACTTTGTCCACTGGTCAAATTAACTTTCACAGCTTGAAATATGTGGCATTAAATCATGTTTGATTGTAATAACCATGTTTTACTGGATCATGTTTTTTGCTTTGATGTTTTGTGATATGGAAAAATAATTGCAGTATTTCCAGCAGATTTGCTCAAAATATAATTAATGGAAACTAATTTTTGGCTCATTGGGTTATCTGGTTCCACCAAGCTAGTTGATTTCTGTTAGATTAGTTCAATCTGATACCTGAAAGTTTAAGAAATTCTATAACTTGTATGTTGATTTGAAATACAGCTTTAGATCTGATAATTCATTCATTTTTCAAGTTCTAACAAAATTGCTATTAAGATTAAGGTTGAAAGTAACTTATGCATAACTATCAAAACAACTGTTACATGTTAGTCTACAATACAAATTAAAGAAAAAAAGCAGTTCATCTTTAGACTCATAAGAACAGCAACTAAGACTTTGTGTATTCAATTTTCCCTTTTGGAATGTTCAAATTATATAAGTTTTTATTTTTTATTTTCCACAGTTGTAAAGAGAATGTCAAGTCAAAGTCTATATTTGAAATGTCTTTGGCACTTCCTATAAAATACTTTTTTCAGTATTTGGCCATTTAAAAAATTCCTGCAAGCAGATTGACGTTTTGATGAAACCAAATCTTGTGCTATTACAGTTGATTAGTTTAATGTTCATTCTTGATTTACCCAACAGTAGTTATAGATGTTAACATATAGACTTGAAATTGACATGCCCTTTAAAGAATTGTATACGCCCACATGGAAATGTGGACGTTTATTGCCATCACCCCTCTCAGTCAGTCCACTAAATTTTCTTGTATGCACGATAAAGGTTGCAATTTTGATCCGATCTTAATGAAACTTAGTATGCATGTATATATTGATGAGATGGTATTGATAGTAATAATTACATGAATGATTTTGGAGCTTATTGCCCGTCTAATTTGGTCTGTAGGCGACAATTGTTTATCTGATCTCGCTGAAACTTGGTATACATGTATATATAGACACGATCTCAGTCAAGTTCAAACTGATGAATGGTTTTGCAGTTGAATTAATTCAATGCGTCTAGTTTGGCTTGTAGGCCTGATAGAGACTACATTTTTTATCCTATCTTGACGAAACTTGGTATGAGATCTCAGTAAAGCTTGAAATTAGTAACAATCTGATAATTGGTTTCACATATTAAACCACTACAGACTTTATCATTTCTGACAGCTGGTAGTGGGCGTATGTTATCTTGCCTCGCAAGCTATCTTTGCTTATTATATGATATTTAAAAGCAATATAATATGAATTTGTACATATATCTTTCAATTCATGGACTTGTATATATCTATAAAATTATATATTCATAACTAACATGAAATGAAAATTTTGGAGAAGCCCCAATAGAACCCCCCAGGTTATAACCAAACATGTACATTGCACTCCACACATTTTATCTCATCATCCAACACTATTTTTAATTGTTGTGAATATTTTGTTTTGTTTTCTATAAAAAAAATATGTCTCTCTCCAGTTGTTCTTGGCAATATTTATTGGAGGTTACCACTGGCTTTCTACTATCATTTCAATATTAAATTCAGATATGAATGCTCAATACATAGCCAAAACTCTTTTTTATTTGACCTTTAATATTGTAGTGAAGTCTATTGAGCTCACACACTGTTACTACCTGTTACATCTTAATATGTTAGTTTTACTATACATAATATAATTGTGTTTGATTTATATTTGTGGTTTATATAATTTGCATCTTTTCGCTACTGGGTCACTACCAGTTCAGCATGTTGAAGACCCCATACAGTCTGGCATGCTTTCCCATTCATTGCACATTGAGATGTTATACATTTTCAGCTTAAAAATGTCATAAAAGAGGAACTTAGAACAGTGTTTCATCTTGTGTGATATTTGTGTTTTAATTGCCCTTTTAGAGTTTGTTATAAATCTGGTCTGTATAGTAACTCAATATGCCGAGTACCGTATTGCCTTTTGTTGTCACACACAAAATAATTTAGCAATACCTTTGAAATTGTACAGATAGCCTCTGAGGCTTGTAGATATGTTTATATTGTGAATATATAAAATAATGTTGAATGTAAAAATTTGTTTTGTTATGCAGTACTAGTGAAAGTAGTCTTCTATAATTTCTACAGTGAAGATCCTCATTTCAGTGGATTTTCCTCTTCTGAACATAGCAGCTGACATTACCAGCAGAGTGTGACGATCCCTTTATTCTTTTAGCTTCAAGGGTACCTCCACTAGCGATTTATTTTATGCTGATGCAATCGACTGGTAGAGAAACTCTGTTCTGTCTTTTTAGGCTATAACACTTGAACCATTGAATATTAGGGGCTAGTGGTCACTGCTCTATTTGATCTATTTAGATTTACCGGTAAGCAAAACAGGTCCTAGTCAAAAACAAAAAAACGGTGAACTAAAGGTGTCATAATGTCAAGATGCTTCATAATAAGAGTACAGATATTTTCACAAAGAAAGGTTGTATAAGTTTTTAATTCAAAATTACGTTTTATAATTATATTCCAGTTTTTTAATTCAAAATTTAAAAAAAAAATCCAGTATCGTCCCACAAAGTTAAAGATAGCTTGCCAGGCAAGGTAATATACGCCTACTGGCAGCTTTGATTTTGAATGGAAATATTTAGCAGTACAGTTACAATCGCCAGTATGAAAAATTCAACCTTCAGTCATACACTTCTTTTGAACTCTTTAGGGCGATACTGAACAATATTGATCAATTTTTAGCTCGTGAAAACTCTAGCAGGCAAATATTCAATCTTCAGCGCGGGACTGAATAATGAAACCAAGTTTTGTCAAAATCCAGTAAGAATCATGCCTTTTAGTGTTTAAGAACTAAATTTGAAAGCGTTTTCCAGAAGAAGGGCAATAACTCATACTAAATATTTTTCGATTCTTCTGATTTTAAATAGGGTTCATCCTTGGGTGATTACAAACACTCACACCAAGTTTCGTCAAAATCCGTCAACAATTGTGCCTTCTAGAGTGATTACGAGCTAAAAATTGAACGTGTTTCCAAGAGCAAGGACAATAACTCATACTAATTATTTTTTGATTTTTCTAATTTTCAATAAGGTTTATCCTTGGGTGATAACAAACACTCATGCCAAGTTTCGTCAAAATCCGTCAAGAATTGTCCCTTCTAGAGTGTTTACAAGCTAAAAATTGAACACGTTTTCAAGAACAAGGGCAATAACTCATACTAATATATTTTTAGATTTTTCTTATTTTTCTATAGGGTTTATCCATGGTTGATAAAAAACACTCATGTCAAGTTTCGTCAATATCCGTCAAGAATTGTGCCTTCTAGAATGTTTACGAGCTAAAAATTGAACGCGTTTTCAAGAACGTGGGCAAAAACTCATACTAAATATTTTTCGCTTCTTCTGATTTTCATTAGGGTTCATCCTTGGGTAATTAAGAACACTCATGCTAAGTTTCGTTAAAATCCATCAAGAATTGTTCCTTCTTGAGTGTTTGCGAGTTAAAAATTGAACGCGTTTTCAAGAACAAGGGCAATAACTTATACTTAATATTTTTCGATACTTCCGATTCTCAATAGGGTTCATCCTTGGGTGATTACGAACACTCTTACCAAGTTTTGTCAAACGGACCGACCGACGGACTGACGGACGGACATGGGTGACGGCAATATACGCCCCCCCATTTCATGTGGGCGTATAAAAAAAGTGTAAGACTGAAAGTTGAATATTTCATACTGATGATTGTTACTGCACTGCCATGTATTTTTATTCAAAACCAAAGCTACCATAGTGGGGGTATTCTTGCTTGCCTGGCAAGCTGTCTTTAAAACTTATTTTGACAGGCCCGTAGCCAGACATGATTGTTTGAAGGGACACGTGATATTTAAAAAGGTTTCACTAGTCAACTTAGCATTTCAGCGAAATGGCTTCAGGTCAGTGTGGCCCCAAAAGTCAAATTGGCCCCAAATAAAATTGTTAAAATGGCCCTTAAAATTACTCTTTGTTTTCAACCAAAATCATTGGTGAAAATGGACCCGCATAAAAAGTCAAAATGGCCCCAACAGTAGCTATTATAATCTATGTTGACTAATACTAGAAATAGTAGTTTGTAGCTTAATTATTAATGAAAGAATAAAGAGGGCTAGTAGGGAACCATAATACACAGGCTAAAGCACTATTATTTAATTTTCAAATTTATAAACTGTAGGCTAAACTTGTCTGGTTAAGATTCGATCGTGCTAGCTAGGCCTATATACAGTCAAGTAACCTATTTTTCGTGGATTTCCGGAAAGGATTAATAATTTACATGTGCGACCTCCGCATTTGCTTGTTTTAATAAACATGGGTTTTCTCTACAATATCAGCTAGTAGAAGGAATCCAGTAGTTTCAAGCAAGGTAAAATTATTAATGTATACTTTGACAAATACAAAATGGCGGATTTCACTTATTAAAAAAAGTCAACATTTTTTATCGGCCGAATTTCCTTATAATCCCAAGCGGTAATCGGAATTCCACGTGTCGTCTGCTAGAATGTAGTCCAACGAATGAAGTCACGTGATCAACTAGCGGATTCCGAGTCAGCAGAACATTTCTATGGAACACAAAGTGGACCATACTCTTATGTTGTTTCAGTGACTTTTAGCAATAAATCACGCTACGTATCTTATTTTGTCAGTCACTATTTTATTTTAAAATCGTGGTTCTTTGAAGGAATTGTCACTAGTTATGATGAATTGATATTAAAGATAAATACTAAGTGAAGTTAATTATACCACCCGGTATCCATACAACGTGTTTTTCTAGACTTATTTATAGATCAAACATTGTGTTGTAGAGAGCTGATATATTAGTCTATACAGGCCAATATCAAACACAACTCTCATTGTTTACACGTTTCCAAGTCAGAGTCACGTGACTTCCGTTAAGCTATAGCCCGAAATGGTACGCTTTCATTCTACATTTCTAGTCCGAAATAGTACGCTTTCATACTACATTCCTCTCCATTATAAAAACAAGACCTATATATTATAAATTTATTTATCTATAACAGCACTTCTTCACTTGGGTCATAGTTCAAAATGAATGCTCTATTATCTTCGTCCAAAAGACTAATACACGACATCAGATTCCTCAAATGCATCGCGCAACCTAAATGCGATGGAGG